CAAAGCAGGCCGGTATGTCACAAGATAAACACATGGGAATCTGAGTGCTCAGAGAATGTAAGGCCTCCAACTCTATATCTGAGGAAAAGTACAGACTTTCTCAGGTGTCAATTAACTATCGTTGATCATGGAAAGACACAGGATGGGAAGCTAGAGACCACCCTGCACTTCTCCTGGTTCTTCACTGACCAGCTGTCTGCCTGGCTGACCAGGGGCCATTTCTTCTAGCTGCTCAGACCTCCATCACCCATCTGAAGTGTGTTTCTATGAGGCACAATTTCCCAGGGCATCCTAGAGACTGGGGTTGGAGCAGAAATAACACATGGAAAACAAGAGCAAGCTGGTGGTCAGTTGACTACTCAGGCCCTGAGGCCACTTCCCAGGTGAGTGTGACTGACATGAGCCAGTGAGCCAATAAATGACAGAGCAGAGTCCAAGGAATGAGCTAGAAAAGAGTGAAGGGACAGACAGGAGCTGACTGTGGCAGCAGAATCATGTGCTCTGTTCTTGGTCATTAAAGTCATTCTCCCTCTGCTGAGGGCAGGGGAGGACTTGTGCAGATGCAGATGCAGAAGGGGTGATGGACAGCAAGAGGGGAGCATGGACTTACTGACATTCTGGCCCTTGTGGACCATTTATGTTTGGTGGTTATAAGAGAAACTTGAAAGGAATTTAAAATATTTCATATGTGAAAAGTATTATTAATACATAGGAGCCTAAGACCAATAGCAGGAAAGACTATTCTCTCTCTCTCTCTCTCTCTCTCTCTCTCTCCCTTCGTTTTGTTGTTAATCCTCACCCGAGGATATTTTTCCCATTGATTTTTAGAGCGAGTAGAAGGGAGGGAGAGAGACAGAGAGAGAGAAACATCAATGCGAGAGAGAAAGATCGATTGGTTGCCTCCTGCACGCGCCCCAACTGGGGCCAGGGATCGGGCCTGCAACCAAGGTACATGCCCTGTCCACTGAACAAAACATAGGCCAATGCTCTGTCCACTGAGTTAAAAACCAGCCAGGGCAGGAAGGACTATTTCTCTAGAGAGCAGCAAAGGGCCTGAGACAGGGGTCTCAATCCCTGGATGGACAGGGAACCTGTCCCATGTGACCAGAATTCCAAGGATTTGGCAGCCAGGTTCCAGTCTCTGAAGAGATTTGGAATCATTCACTCATTCGTTCACCATTTATTTCTTCCTAATTCACCAAAATTAGGGTGTTTGTTACCCGTTGGTCCCTGGACTGGTTGCAGGTGTAGAGTGAGGAGTGGGCAGGCAAAGTCCTTTCCTTTGCTAGGTGTACCAGTTAATAATGTGGATTTTTTTCAATAGATGAAGTTACACCTATGTTGATATATATGCGATTTGATATGTATGCTATTTTATTGTATTGATAAGCTTCAAAACTTCATATGTCAAATTTGCTGAAGGTGTTAAACAGCATAGATATTTTTACACTTAAAAATGTTGAATTTCGAGATTTCCCCGGGGGCAGCAGGCCAGGAGGGAGCACTGTCCAAGGCTGTGCTGAGGGAGGGGGCCTCTGGGCTGTGGATCCAGCGCCACCCGACAGCTTTAGTCTCCAAGGGCGCGAGCGTTTCTCACCTGCCCTGCGCTCAGGCGGGGGCTGGAACCCGGTTCCAGCGAGGGAACTGCTCCGCCCCAGCCTTCTTTAATTCGCGGAGCCGGCTTACGCCACTGACGCCCTACGCTCCCCGGGGCGGGGAGGAGGGCGGAGTACACCTTCGGCTTAAGGAGGGCGTGGAGGGTTCCCGCCATTGGCGGCAGTTAGGGCGTTCACGCGTCGGTGGGAGGGAAGGTTCTAGAAAAGCGCCGGACGGCCGCTGGAGCGGCATTAGCAGCGGCGCCGGCTCAGCGTGCGGACGTGCCTCCAGCGGCGGCAGTTCTCACTACAGCGCCAGGAGGAGTCCGGTTCGCGTGCGACCGCGGAGGTCTCTCTCAACTCGCTCGGCTGCGAGAAATCGGGCTGAAGCGACTGAGTCCGCGATGGAGAGAGAAAAGGAACAGTTCCGTAAACTCTTTATTGGTGGCTTGAGCTTTGAAACCACAGAAGAAAGTTTGAGGAACTACTATGAGCAATGGGGGAAACTTACAGACTGTGTGGTAATGAGAGATCCTGCAAGCAAAAGATCAAGAGGATTTGGTTTTGTAACTTTTTCATCCATGGCTGAGGTTGATGCCGCCATGGCTGCAAGACCTCATTCAATTGATGGAAGAGTGGTTGAGCCAAAACGTGCTGTTGCAAGAGAGGAATCCGGAAAGCCAGGGGCTCATGTAACGGTGAAGAAGCTGTTTGTTGGTGGGATTAAAGAAGATACTGAGGAACATCATCTTAGAGATTACTTTGAAGAATATGGAAAAATTGATACCATTGAGATAATTACTGATAGGCAGTCTGGAAAGAAGAGAGGCTTTGGATTTGTTACTTTTGATGACCATGATCCTGTGGATAAGATTGTGTTGCAGAAATACCATACCATCAATGGTCATAATGCAGAAGTAAGAAAGGCTTTGTCTAGACAAGAAATGCAGGAAGTTCAAAATTCTACAAGTGGAAGAGGAGGCAGCTTTGGTTTTGGAGACTCTCGAGGTGGTGGTGGAAATTTTGGACCAGGACCAGGAAGTAACTTTAGAGGAGGATCTGATGGCTATGGAAGTGGTCGTGGATTTGGGGATGGCTATAATGGGTATGGAGGAGGGCCTGGAGGTGGCAATTTTGGAGGTAGCCCTGGTTATGGAGGAGGAAGAGGAGGATATGGTGGTGGAGGACCTGGATATGGCAACCAGGGTGGGGGCTACGGAGGTGGTTATGACAACTATGGAGGAGGAAATTACGGAAGTGGAAATTACAGTGATTTTGGAAATTATAACCAGCAACCATCTAACTATGGTCCAATGAAGAGTGGAAATTTTGGTGGTAGCAGGAACATGGGGGGACCATATGGTGGAGGAAACTATGGTCCTGGAGGAAGTGGAGGAAGTGGGGGCTATGGAGGGAGAAGCCGATATTGAGCTTCTTCCTATTTGCCATGGGAAGGTGTCTTGCTGCAGGTAACTAATGAAGAAGTGGTCAACCACAGAGTCTTCGAGAAATAAGAAATTCTGTACCATCTGAAAGTAGTTGTTGGTGCCTTCATTTAAAAAAGCACTCTTTTAAGATTAAAGGCAAATGTTTTCTGATAAAATACAAACTTCATTTAGTATAGGCTCTTAATATAAAACAATTACAAGTTGAGTATTGTTTGTAAAAATAACATCAAATCAGCCAGAGAGATAAATGTATCATGTTTTAAATTAGGTTTTGTGAGTAGACAGATTAAAGTTCTATTTTAAATATAAAGTTTTATAAAATAAATACTTTTGTATCCAAATAACTTGGTGTAATGTTTACACATAAAATGTGTGAATCTTGTTCTATAAACATTCAGTTGTCTAAAGAATTGCCATCCCTTAGGTTTTTAAAGCAGTTTCACAAAACTGTACATATTGCCATTTTTTTCTTTTAATAGACATGAGAAAACCATTGTGGACGTTATTGGCTGTCCCTAATAAAAATTCCATTCTTTTATACACTATATTCAGCGTTGGAATGCTGCTATAGTTTTCTGGCTTTACCATGTGCGTTCAACGTCCCTGGTGCCGTTTTAAAAATGTATTACAGGCTTTTAAACAGAGTGGTCCAAATTAAAATTTGTCATTCTAGTTTCTTAAAGTGGTATTGCATTTTACACCGAGTATTGGGTAGCTGTCTTTAAAGGGTTTAAGCATGATGGATAAAATTTAGTGAGTGACTTTCTTCAATATTTACCTAAAATAACAAAAAGCATAAAAACATGAGATACCAAGGATGTCTCATTTTCTTTGGTTTTGATAATATGAAGTATCAGGTAAGTCAAACTAAGGATGGCTAACAAAAGCTGTTTTTGTTTCAAATAAATATTCAAGTAAACTGTTGAATACTCTGCTTCACATTAGGAAAATAACTTTGAAGGTTTCAGAAGTGTCTAGCTTGACAACTAAGTTGGACTTTGAGGTGTAAATGAAGTCAGAAACCTTAAAACACCCAACCCTTAAGCAACAGATATGCACTGTTTTGGCTCAGTGGGTAGAGCATCAGCCCACAGACGAAAGGGTTTACAGGTTCAATTCTGGTCAAGGGCATGTATCTGGGTTACAGGCTTGATCCCGGCCCCCAACCAGGGGCGCACTACAGGAGGCAATGAGTCATTTTTCTCTTCCCTCCCACTCTAAATATCAATGGGAAAAATACCCTCTGGTGAGGATTTTAAAGTGTTAACACCTAATAAACTAAATGAAGTGGCTATTGAAACAATTTCCCTTCTAAAGGAAGGGAACTTTGGGGCAGTACTTTAAACCTTTTTCTTTTGTCTGGCATACCAAAAGTATTGCTGATAGGACAAAAATAGGCATAAGAAACAATGCTGCATAAAGACCAATAAACTAGTGATCTCGGTATTTACAAGTTAACAATTTGAAAGCAATTTACCTGATCCTGGTTGAAGGTCAAAATTGCAGTGGTGACAACTGGGAAGTTTCATCCAAATGGCATGACAGGGCTGGCAAGCTGGTTTTGGCTATTTTCTCTCAGCAATCCCAAGAATAAAAAATCTCAAAATAGGGCCGATGCTACTAAGTCACACTATTGTGTATTCTGATGGTTGCATAGATAGTTTGTTCATCTAAGGAGCGGCAGCCCTGCACAGCCCACCCCCATCTGAGGAGCAGCAGCCCGCACCCTGCACTAGTCTGAGGAGCAGCAGCTGTGCAAGCATCTTGCCCTCTTCCAAGCAGCAGAAGCCACACGAGCAGCCTGCCCAATCCAAGGAACAGCAGCTGTGTGAGCAGCCCGCCCCCATTCGAGGAGCAGCAGTTCTGCGAGCGACCCGTCCCCATTCGAGGAGCAGCAGCAGCCAACCCCGGTCCAAGGAGCAGCAGCCACACGAGCAGACCGCCCACGTCCAAGGAGCAGCAGCCCTGTGCAGCACGCACCGGTCCAAAGAGCAGAGCCACAACAGCCTGCACCTGTCCGATGAGCAGCAGCCAGGTGAGTGACACATCCCCGTTGAAGGAGGAGCAGCCACACATGCAGCTCACTCCCATCCAAAGAGCAGCAGCCTCGCAAGCAGCCCACCCCCGTCCGAGGAGCAGCAGACTTGCAATCAACCTGTCCAAGTCCAAGGAGCAGTAGCCCCACAAGCAGCCCACCACATAAGAGGAACAACAGCAGTGTGCAGCCAGCCCCCATTCAAGGAACAGCAGCCTCGTGATCAGCACACCCTCTGTCTGAGGAACAGCAGCTGTGTGTGAAGCCTCCCCCCACCAGCCAGAGGAGCCACCACAGCTGTGAACAGCACCCACCAGAGGAGCTGCTG